AACTAGATTCCGCCGAGCGTTGCTAAAAATACGATAGAAAGAACGTAGATAGATGTCGAGATTTTCGCGCCGTGAGGTCATCGACCGCTTAGCTTAATTCGTCAAGTTAAAGAAAACTCTTAATTCGTCGTTCGTTCTTTATTTAACTCGTAAAGATAAAGTGAAAGACACAGATTGGAACCCCGCAGCGCCGAAAGTTTTTGTTCCTTTATCTACAGAAGCATCACGTTTTAAAATCATTTAAACGTTCAGGCTGTGTTACCTTAATTTTCATATACACACTTTTTTGCGAAGGCTTCCTCTGAACAAGGGGTATTAGATAATAGGGTTCGAATATAGATTTTCTAATAATTTCTAGTATTTACGCGATTACACATTACTAAATGAAACTATGTTTACGGATTTATCGCGTTTATTTTTTGTTTTAATTCACGACGTTTCTGACTTTTTACAGCATGTTCACGGGACAGACTAATTATTGACTTTAAATATAGACGGTAATTTACTATTTTATTACTGGCATACATTATTGGCATTGGCGCTATATCAGCGGTTTGGTTGTGTCTTTTTCATCATTAATAACATTGCCAAACTTATTTGTTGCGTATATAAGCGAATAAAAAAATTCAATAAAAGTCTCAATGCGGTGGTCTGTTGACGCAACGTTCATCGCTACCGACCTATGGTCAGTTGGAAACCACAGCACCATCATTATTCATGGGCCTTACTCAACAGCCAATTACGGATCTAGAAAGCAAGGTAACATCCATCGTAGTAAGTTATCGCGTGTAAAAACCAGTACAACGGCCACACAGAAACGTCGATCAGCGCTGAGGTAGCGCTAAATTATTGTCATGTTACCGAACATCTAATTAATAAGAATTTAAAATACGGCAAAAGGTAAAAGTACAGTAGTTATGATTTGGTGTATATACAAATAGAGAAATAAAATGCATCGGTTTCAAGTGAGCAATTAATATTTAGTTAAAGATACAACGGAAACCGAATAGCTATTCGAAAGTAAGTTTTGATACATACTCGATTTCAAGCATGATTAAGACATGAAGCGAAAGCAGTTTAAATCCAAAATGAAATAGATGTAATCGTCAATAGCTCACCAATACTTTCACTGTATTGTTCCTTTTCTAAGGCATTTTTCATTCTTTATATTGTAGCGGACGTGGGAGGGAAATTTCTACTCCGAAATCCCATACAAAAAGATGAATAGAAGCATTAATATGTTGTTCTGATCTAAATATAGGACTGCCGTGTCGTCAATTTACTTACCTATTAATTCAATCATAAATCAAACATTATTATTAATTCTTAACTTTAACAAATTGTTAGCTTTTACATATTGTTTAACATATTATTCTGAACTGCTGACTCGTCAATTTACCTATTAATTCAACGAGAAAAAATATTATTATTGATTCTTAACTTTAACAAATTGCTTGATAGACATATTTACGTAATACAATTAAATATTCAAGTCAACTTCTGTGTTTCATCTGGCGAGGTAACCGGGGCCCACTTTATTAAACGGTGGCAACGCATCTGCAACCCTATAGGTGTTGCAAATGTCCATGGGCGGCGGTTATAACTTAACTTCACGTGAACCGCCAACTCGCTTCCCATCTTCTTACATAAAAAAATGTCGGGTACACTGCACTTTAAATACAATAAGTGAAGCGAATCTCGTAGAATCATTCATTGTTATAAACTTCCCAAACTTGTTCTCGCCTAACAAAAGTTCCACGACAGGTGACATGGAACTGAACATGTATAATACCTATTGTACTATCATACAGACGTGTTTCTAACCGTTGAGTCACTGAGATCGTACAGCCGCATTGTTCGAAGCGTCCATTGTCACTTGTAAAACATTTAGTTCCGGCTACAGATGAAGACGGAGACGGTTTAGGACCTTCTGGACGGATTAATCGATTCTCAAAGTATTCATTATTAGTAAAGTAACATATACATGCCCCACTGCTGTAAAGGTCTCCTCCTGAACTAGGGCATAGTCAAAGTCAAATTCAAATATCTTTATTCAATATAGAAGCATTACACTTATTGATTGATTGTCAAAAACACTACTATTGGTTCGGCAAAAATCCGCTGGCCTGAGAAGAACCGTCGAAAGAAACTCAGTGGGACAGCTTGTTTTAAACATAATTGAATTTAATAATAGTGCACCACGTGACCTCATTTTGAAATATTTTTTAATCATTTCGAAAATACGCAAGTTTCCTCACTATGTTTTCCTTCACCGATCAACAAGTGATGACACAGCACTTGACTGTAACTAACAATTTCATTGGTGCCGGCACCGGGAATCGAACTAGGGTACCTCGAGTTTATTGTACTAAAAACGAGCGCCAGGACAGTAAGCTATCACGGCTCGTTCGCGTATTAAAAAGTATACAATTATTTACGATTGATTCGAGATAACGACGATAAAGCGATTAACGCCCTAGATCTAGCAAGGTTAGTCTAAATGTCAATTCCTTCTTGGTAACTCGTTTGCAACAAGTTCTGAATGCGGTATTAGCCCAACTTTTCTCACGACTTGATAAATATCACCGAAAAAGAAATTCGGGATGGAATGTGCCAGTCGACCTCAGTTGGGATCGGCGAAACAGATTTCGGGTGTTTGTAAAACCTTTCTATAGGAGACCGAGAATTTATGGTCGAGCACCTGTTGTGCACGTTCAGCTAAATTTGTACTAGCTGTGCCCACGACTTCGTCCGCGTGGAATTTAAAATAAAAAAATTAAAAGTTCTAGAAAAAGTACGAAAGGATTATCGCCGCTGTGGCAATCGAACCCACGTCTTCAGCATTCGCGACCTGACGCTTTAGCCACTAAGCTAAAAATTCTTAAATAAAAATAGCCTAAATTATACAGGGAGGTTTTTGGACAGGTGTCCAAATTTACACAGGAGGTTCAGACTCGGTAGTATAATTGTTTATTGAAATAAAAAACAAACTTTTTTTTTCAAAAAAAATTCCATTGTATTGCCTAAGAAACAGAACGTGTTAACAATGCGGTAGTCATAAATACCTAAATTTTTCTGTGCACGAACTTGTGTGCGTGTTAGTTATGAATGATCGCGCGTAAAATAAATGAGTTGCGTATAAATCACGCACTTTTTGAGATAAGTTCAAATAAATTTAATTAATTACTTACGAATGATTTAAAATATTTATCATTTTTAATATAAAACTATTTATGTCTAGTATTATTAAGAAAAATGGATACACTTAGAAAAGCTTCCCTGTATACTCCTTATTAAATAAGCTATCCGCGAGTGAAAGTCCCATCTAAATCGGTCAGGCCGTTTCAGAGATTAACCGGAACAAATAGACAGATAAAAGTTGTAAAAAAATTATTGTGTTATTGTGGTACATGTACCGTGTATACATCCATATGCATTTAGTAAATAGCGCGGTTATTTTAGTATTTCAAACAGACACTCCAATTTTATTTATTTGTATGTATGTATGTATGAATGTATGTATGTATGAATGTATGTATTTGTGTATGTATGTATGTATGTATGTATGTATGTATTTGTGTATGTATGTATGTATACTAGACATAGCAATTTATACGATCAAAAGAGCGTGCTGACGTTTCGTACAAACTAACATATACATTATGTTTATGTACTTGTATTTTACGAATGATAACAAACACCAATTTCACTCAATCACGACACCGGGTTTTCGTAAAACTGCGTATTTAAACCCATAGAAGTCAATAGTCAAACCTTTTGCGTTCCCGTGCAATCCTTTAATATAATAGCTCTGACTGACCCATTTATTTGTATTAAAATGTGTAAGAAATTAGCAATTGTGTGATACTAATCTGGAAAAAAAACTTTCTGACTTATTTATATATAATTCAATATCTAAAATATACGAGTGATGGTAAAATTTTTTGTCGTCTGTGGAGATCGAACTCACGACACAGTCCCAATGGCAGTTTTTTTTTTTTTTTTATGTGAAAAGTTGCCAAACGAGCAGACGGTTCACCTGATGTTAAGTGAATACCGCCGCCCATGGACATCTTCTACACCCGAGAGTTTGCAGATGCGTTGACAACCTTTTTGGAAATTGGGCTCCGGCTACCTCACTCACCAGACGAAACGCGAAAGTATTTGTCATACTTCCACTTTACGCCGGTCTTCTGTGAGGTCGTGGTACTTATCCGGACGAGCCTGCCCATTCGTGTAGTTGATGAGTCGATCACTTGAACCAACTCTACGGTGATATCCGTGGAGTCAAATCAGCAACACTGCTAATTGGTAGCGTCATGTGGTAGTAACTGCTATTGGATAAAGATACGTATAAAGACTCTCTCACTATACGTATCACTCACTACAAGCACATGCAATGCAAATCAGTCATCGCTGTTGCACGAATGGGCAAGTCCCGCTAAGTACCACTACCTTACAAAAGGCTGACGTGAAATGGAAGTGTTTCTGCGTTTCGTCTGATGAGCGAGGTAGCCGGAGCCCACTTTATTAAAGCTAGCTTGCCACCTTCTCACATAAAAAAAAAGAAATACTTAGGATAAAAATCTTATTTACAATAAATTTTCCCTTTATTGTCTATGCTACAGTCTTCCTATTTTAATTTTTTATTTTATTGAGCAATAAAATCCACAGACAGCCCTTACTTTTTATACATGTATATCACATATCCTTAACAAACATAAAAAAAATATATATAATATACAGTCGAGTCGAGAATCTCCTCCGTTTTTGAAATCGGTTAAAAAGCAATATAAGGAGCATAGTAAATATCTAAGAAAAAATTGAAATGCAAGCTAAGGCGCGGACACTTTGTGCGTGTGTGCATGCGAGCGTGTCTGGGTGCGCAAGTGTGTCTGTGTGTTGTGTATTACTTTGACTTTTCTTGCGCCAAATTTTGCAGTATATAGTTTTGTATTTATAATATAACTATATAAACGATTGTCTTAATTTCAGGCACAATGCAATCCTGTGATGGTGCGCGAAGGATCGTTCAACGAAGACGGGTAAGGGACGCCGATTACGTCATAATAACTAATTGCATCATCACGTGCCACCTTTACACATAAAATGGAATTTCATACCGAAATACTGTCATTATCGTCAACATCCCACTGCTGGACATAACCCTCCTTAAGTCTACGGCTTTTCGCTTCGAATCTCTGTCTATTGAGGCAGACGTCTTGGGACCTTGCACCTTATTAAGTAACAAAATTAATATGTTATACTCTCAGACATGTATATTTTTTAAGTTCCTATTTATTTATGCATTATAGATGTTTACGTTTAATTTAGTTGATAAAACAAATCAAATCAAATCAAGGAATCAAGGAATAATAAGGAATGTAAGTATGTATAAACGTTTGCTATAATTTCAGGATTTAATCCCCAATCAAGACCAGGATGCACCAGCACCTAGTGCTGAGAGTTTGCAAGCGCTCGCTGAAGTCATGGGCGCCGCAGGGTTCGAAGCCTACACGGAGGGCAAGGCTCTCGTGAAGCGTTTGATACCAGCCAACAGTCAACCGGACTTGGACGTCGTGGAGCACCAAGGTGAGAACGCCTCGCCAACAATGATGTTATACAGGGTGATTTTTAAACGAAGTACATACTTTGACATAATGTTAATTGAGCGTTTGATAATTCAAAAAAAGATTTATATTTTATTTTGACAAGGAAACAGAAAAATATCAATTTAAACATTGCTTATCCCGCTAAGAGTGGTCACCCCATTGATAAGCGGTTTAGTAATTATGCGTTCAGCGAAATAATTTAGTGCTCGTGAATAAGTTATTGTATTGAGACGGTAATGCGAGAATTTCTTCTTAAGATGTCCATAATGTTTGAAAAAATTAAAAATAATCTAAAAAAAACATGAGGTCCCAAGTACATACCGGATTCAGATTTAGAATCAAATTCTGCATATGCTCTGTTAATATGTCCGTCATCTATAAAATCACCCTGTATACAAATACGAGGTAGATATGGCACTAGCGCACCGAAATTGAAGCACACTAGCAATCTAATTACACCAATTGGTGTAATTAGATTGCTAGTACAAGCTTTGCTTAGTTTGTGACTGGAAAATGTTGTGTAAAAATGTGTCCTAAAATATTTATTTTATATTTATTTTATAGACCGCTATCTCTTTCCGTACCATACATTCTATATCATCTGTCACCTTCACTTATATATGTCAAATAATGTAAAGCGGAACAATTTTTAAGCCGCGCAGTATGGACATGCGTCATCTTTATTAAAACATCATTGCTCGCCAATACGAACAATGTATCTGTCTCGTTACCATGAACGTTTTAGTGTTCGAAACAATTTAAAAATTTTCAAGTTCCTTAAATTCATTATTAAAACGAAAGTTTCTCGCCGATGTTTGTATGCTGGAAAGGATATAACAATGGATGTGCCAAGCATTGCTGTTTTAAAAAGTTGCAAAATATTATATAGAATACATAGTACTAATACTTTAAAGTAATGAAATTTTAATATTAAGTACATAACGCATGTGATCTCATATTTTCATTATAGTTTCTGATTCGTACATATAAAGCGTCGCATACGCGACACTATCTTAATTATTATATTGAAAGTAAATTTTGTCCTCTCCCTAAGTTATCTATCGTGTAGTAACAAAAAGTACCTTAACGTGACACGTCCTTAAAATTTGACTCAATTCTCGTCTTATTCAAAGACCTAAGAAGATTCAATTAAGAAAAGTAATGAGTGATGCAAATTTTAGGTGTCATCGGTAGAGCAGGAGTGGACTTTCCAGCGTTCCCTACCATCCCGAACACTGGATTTAACTGCAAGAATGTGCCGACTGGATACTATGCTGATCTGGAAACCGACTGCCAGGTATATACAGGACACATTCTTAAAACAATAGCAATAAGAGATGGACATACTGTCATACTAGCAATAGTTACGAGGGATTTCGATTACGATTACGAACTCATTTGTTAAAATAGCAAGTGCCGACCGACAAAAGTAGCCAAAAGTTTATTCGATGATAATTATAACATTGATGATATCATGCAAAAACTGTTACATAAAATTCTCGTGCCAAAGGAATTTAATTACTTACAGGTTTTCCACATCTGCGACACGTCTCGCAAGATCTCGTTCCTGTGTCCAAACGGTACCATCTTCAGCCAGTCGCACCTAATCTGTGACTGGTGGTTCAAGGTGGATTGTGCCTCCGCTCCGGCCCTCTACGAGTCAAGCGCAGAATATTACTCAAATGAGCAGAAGAAATCCCAAAGGGGGAACCAGAGCCCCACCAGGAATCCCGACTTGCAACAATTAGGCGATACTAATGTCAGAACTGAATCCAAACAAATTCCCAGTACAACTGAAAGATTGTTGAGGCAGCACCAAAGGCTTCATAGCGAGGGGGCCGCTAATACCGTAAATGTTAAGACACCTAGAAGCTTCCAAACATTATATCCGGAAATAAATAGCGACCCTACTCAGAAAACTCAGGCAACTACCATGTTTGAAAAGAGACGCAAAAATTTAGTACAATTAATTGCAAACAATTTTGGCAATTTGCCAAAGAGAACAACTTTGCCGGCATTTGAATATTCCACCCGTAGACCAACGCCTGCACGAGATTTTGTTGGTATTCGGGAAATGCAAGTAGCCGCAGAAACTGCATCTTTTGCCCAAAACCAAAACCGACAATTCTTAACTCAAGATTACAGCAAAACCTATCGTCCTTTCCCAGTATACACGCCAAATCTCTCAAATGGATCTGATAAAACTAAAACTAACCCAACCTTGACAACACTATACGATTTTAGGGATAAATATTTACCACAAAGTTCAGAGGAAGCAACTACCAAAAGAGCGTCATTAATGTCATATACAAAAAGTTACACAGAGACTATTGAAAAGCAAGAACCGTATACCAGACCGGGTATATCCTCACTCAAGGAATTCCTCGCTAAAGAAAAAAGTAAAGCTACCTCGGCGACTACTGAAATGTCAGAGATAACTGAGACATCTACTAAAACAAATAAAAGGAACAGTAACACTGAAGAAAAAAAACTTACTATTGAAACCAAGAGCAGTTTTGAAGCTGTCACAGTGAAACCTGAAGTAACACAAGAAGACAGTGACTACATAGAAACATCATCATCGGATAGAATTCACTCACATACTAATAAAAATCAACGAGAAACTACTGAATCGTCATATCAGGAACGCCGAGAAAGGTTAATTAGCAAATTGAACTTGGAGGCATTTGGTCCAACAGAACCGACATTTACAGCGTCACTTACCGAGAAATACTATGGGAATTTACCAAACAGGCCAGGACTTATAGTTCCACCATCCCTAACACCCAAAACCCTTCATTCACTTGCTATTTACTATGCTACGGGACTAGACAATTTTGCGACCACAACGACACCAGAAGAAGTAGAAGGCACAACTTTATCGTTTGACGAATACGAAGCTATGGAGGAAGGTTTGCCTGCTCTCTTCAGCCAACAAACTGTAAATAAATACAGCAATTTGTTTGGGAATGAAAACAAAAATGCACAGCTTCTAGAAGATATTAAACTCGATCCAAACGGTACTTACAATGAATTGGCTGAAGATTTATCTACGCAGATGAGCCAAAACCCACTGGCCGCTTCCCCACAAATAAGAGAACTGGCCCAAGTATTTACTCACGCTCTTTCGGCCTATCTACAAGATCCAGTACAATTTAGAAAAGTTCTTTCGGATATAAGACCTACACCGCCCAATTTTGGCGATATGCTCACAACAGACGAACTTTTATATAATACTGAACCTACAACTACTGTCAATGAAGACGATCAAGAAATATTAGGTTTTTCTGATGACCATAAAGTAAGAGTCCCCATAGTTTCATTGAGAGAAGGAAAGTCACTGAAAACTAACCTAGAAACAAAAGACTCGAATGATTTAACAACAACTACCACAGTTCCAACTACTACGGAAATTGTTACATCTCCATCGACGACCACCACTATCAGAACTCCGTTTAGGTGCTGTGGCAGAATATCAGCGTCATATACTACTGCTGCTCAACCTAAAGAACCTTCCTCAACACCAAACCCATTCACACATACAGGTGCAGCCCAAGTAAATAGTTTATCGAATAAATTTTCCGAAAATGTTATTTCCACAACTGAAAACAATTACAGTTTACAGAAATATGGTGGATTCCAAAATAATTTAAACGTTCTAAATTCAACGCAGTATGGCAAAGATGTTAATGCGGGAGATTTTAAACCATTTAATGATTACACAGAAATAACCAATTTACCCTCTGCGTGGGGGGTTGATGCAACTTTAATGCCAGTCACGAATGGAAACATTTTCGAAAGCAAGCGAATCAAGTCTACAATACCAGAAACCACACCGGTGTACTTCACAGAAACTGAGAATATTGAACTAGAAAATGAAGAAGAGCTTCAAAGAGCGCATAGTCAATCTTTTGTCACTCCTCAGGGTAATAGCGTTAGACAAGGGAAAAACATTAATTTGGATGATTCTAAAAATAATTTTAAGAGACCCTCAGAAAATTTGGAAGCACCTACAACCACGACGATGGTAGACACCTCAACAGCGCAAACAACAACCGACTTGCCTACAACAACTGTAAAAGATCAGACGGAGTCATTACCAACCACGGCAGCCTTTTCTGGCAATATATTTACGTCGCCCGATAGCGACAGAACTACGTACCAATTTCCCACCACATTTGAGAATTGGCAGAACACGATCGTAGTAGATCCCATTACTTTGAACGATGGCTTAAGCTCTACTGGCTCTGACCAAAAAGGCATAGATCTTGTGGAGCAATCTAATAGTTGGTCATTGACGACTTCAACAGCAGCGCCGACTGAGTATGCTGAAACCAGTGAAACAACAGTCTCATCAACCGTGGCCATACAATTATCAGCACTCAGTGGAAGAGCTCAAGAAAGATACGGCAGACTGCTGAAGGATTCGACTACAGAATCACCCCAAGAGTCAACAACGATCGCTGATACCGTTGTTGAAAAAGCTAAAGAAATCATGGGGGGCATGAACTCCACAACAACGGAAAAACTAATGAACGTTATGATGAAGACAAAGTCGAAAACTGTTAAGAGGCTTATCTTGCTACTCATCCAAACATGTGATGACGATCACAACTCAACAGCGGAAGCATCCAAAAAGGCATTACTGGAAGCACTAATGGCAGTATCACAAAGAGACATGGAGGAAGTGGCCAAAGAGCAAGAAGCTACAGAGCTTCCCAGTACAACTGCGAGCTATGATTATTTTAAAACAACTTTGTTCAGCAGAAGGATGGACAGCCAACCGCTTGGTGTGGAAAGTACTAGGCGAGGCAAAAGTTTGCAGTTCGACGCCAGCGCTATTAACTCCTTGTCGCATTCGGCAACAACAGAAAGCGTTACAACTGAACAGAACGAAGCGACAACATTAAGTCCAACAACCGAGAGCAGTCAAAGAGCTGAAAAAATCGTCGTTACTAAAACAGCTACTGATGATAGTCCAAAGTTACCCGCGGTTAACTGGCCTTTAGCACAAGCTAGGGTTGCGCCACAGAGTGCAAACCCCAAAGGATCCTCGGATACGCGAGCTTTGGAACTGCTGAGATCTCTATACACAATAGCCGCGAGATGGGGTTGATACTGTTAGCTTAACGTTCACATATTATCAGTTACCTTAAAAATACTCTTGCCTACGGTTCATGTTGAAATTGTGCTAAACACCTCTGTGTTTTTGAGCCCGTCTTTGCTCATTATTTTCAGAAACCGCATTTTACTATTTACACTGTATATGATTTTATATTTATGATATTGTAGGTTAGTTATTACGTAGCCCAATATTTGAAAAGTTAATGTGATTTTGTTTAGATAAAACAGTATTTGAACACTAAACAAAACGTAGGTTATTTAAATATGCAGTAACTTTAAGGAACAACTTATTAGGATACGCACTTTGATATACAGCTTTGAAAGATAAAACTTTAAAATTATAGTATAGAAATTACATGTGTATAATATTGAAAGATAATTTTAGAATGACTTCATTTCCATCAAAATTTAGATTTGTTACTGAATTTTGGTGTGTATTCGAATTAATTTATTTTTACTTGTTTTTGTTTAAAATATGTAACAGAGTAAAGTTATTTTTAGCTTATTAATTAAGTTAATAATTAGTAAGAATTCTGCTTGAACATTAGAGTTACCTACTATAGTCTGGTATCCAATTTTAGTATTATGTTACACTGCCAACTACTTTTGTACATTACCCTAAGACTATTTAGTTTTATATAGATTAAGATAATTTTTTTACAATAAACTTTTTTATAAACGCTTGTAATGATTTTCATTCAAACATTCGACAAGAAGGCCATTCTATAACAATATAAATGTTTTCTTTTCGTAAATTAGGCAGTATGTATGCAATGCATATTGCGTATATACAGCGATATATATCTTTACATACGCGACACACATAAAGAGGATAACTTTTTAAAATTGTTTTAAACATTTACATTCTTTAAACATCAATATATACCGAGTTATTAAATTTTCCAAAACAAAGAATTTTAGAACACCCTTACGTATAAAACTGTAACGTAAAGTTCCTTTGTAAAGGTCACAAAGCATATGAATGGGTTGAATGAATTTTAAAGAGACAAAACATACCGTTAGAAGCAGAGGCTAGTAATGCGACACTGTGGCAACGAATGAAAGTCTCTGAATGTATGAATCAGTCAGTTGCAGGTTGTACAAATTTTGTTTCTTTTGTACTTAATCAGTTTGTTTGATTTTTTTTGAATTATGGATTTTTTTTCATGTTAATATTTTTTTATGATTATTAGCAAGTAGCGTTAGACGTGTGTTCATTTGTGTCGCGGTGGTAACGATACGTTGTATATTGCGGCCGGTATAGTTAATATAATAGGTGGCTAGTCCATCCCTTTTTAAAAGCTGATTGTTTGCGCATGTATATAACATATTTAAAAATGACAGTAAATACTATAACGTAAATAGAGTTACAACTAATTGAAACTTTAAATATTTTGTCGAAATATTTTTCGAAGATTCGGGATTAAGTTAAGGGCAGATTATCTTTAGCTCGCGAAAATCTCATCTATTTTCTTTAGCAACGTCAGGCGTCATCTAGTGTGCATACTTTGCAACACTTTCTAAATAACATTTTTAGAATAGATATTTGAACGACAGAGGTCGCTTCTGCTAGAAACAGAAACTAGTGCTCGCGGACGACCCATAACGCTTGCTTCTTTCGCACTTTTTTCCCAAATAAACCGGTAAAGGCCTCAGGTAGTGCAAAAAAAATTCACCCTGGTTACAAACGGCGTAAAGTGATATCATTTAAACACCAGCACAGCAAATGCAGGACATCGACGATCACGGAAAAGAGAAAACAAGTTGCTGTTTTAACTATTAAAAAGTTTATTACGAATTGAAAAGTAACGCGAATGTGCCCAAACATCGTCTACGCAACGACTGCTCAGTCGAGTATAGGCCAGAGCCACAGGGGCGGGAATGCTACGAGTCCGGAATTCGTACTAAACAATTTTTTTACTAACGAAAAACAAAACCCACTTCAAATATTTCGCTCTGTATTCAATTTATAACTGATTTTGAGGAGTTCCCTCCGTATCTCCGGACCGCAAAATACAATACCAATAAAATTAATATGGGACCACATGGAAGCACCAGCTTTCAAATAAAAAATAATCATCAAAACCGGTTCACTCAGCCGAAAGGTCTGAGGTGTTACTTCATAACATTAAAAAAAATAGTCGATTTTTTTTTTTATGCGAAAAATTGCCAAACGAGCAGACGGGTCACCTGATACTTAGTGAATACCGCCGCCCATGGACATCTGCTATACCCGAGGGTTACAGATGCGATGACAACCTTTTGAAAATTGGGCTCCGGCTACCTCACTCACCGGACGAAACGCGAAAGTATTTGTCATACTTCCACATTACGCAAGCCTTCTGTGAGGTCGCGGAACTTACCCGGACGGGCCTGCCCATTCGTGCAACAGCCGAGGCTGCTGCGTGGCCCTACCACCGTAAAATTTGAGAACGTCCTCAGTTTTTGAAGTCTATTGCAAACTACACATCACGCACACACACTCAGCGTTAACATTCACATCATAACGTACATGAAAGCGGATAAAACTGTCCAGACATTTTAAACTGTAATTTTTTTCTCGATAAATGAACAAAACCTTTCGGCACTGCGGGATTCGAACCTGCGTTTCTGGGACGCTTTAACTAAGCAACGCGGTCGATGACGTCACGGCGCGCCAATCTCGACATCTGTTCTACGCTTCTACGTTCATTCTATTGCATTTTTGTCAATGCCTGGCGCCATCTAGAGTGTACCGCTTTAAGCATCCCGAGACAGTTTGAAAGCTGCTCCATATCTCCCCCATCAACTTGTAGCCTTTCCACAATCAATGAACAAAAACACCTCAAAGCTATGTGGATGGACAAACATGTTTTCCGTCAAATAAAATATTAACACTGAAAATATTTATTATTTCTCTCTTTTGAACAGGTTTATTAGTTCTCCTATCGCCTATCGGTACGATCATTTCTCCTTGGGAACGGTTTTCTTGGGAGTCTTCTTGTCTTTCGCCTTCTTCAGGTAGTTGTCCACATCCTGGTCGGTGACTTTGTGGCCGGCCTTGAAGTAGCTCTTGAGCCGCCTCTTCTTCTTCATCATCAGCTTGGAGGCGGCCAAGGCCCCCCGCCGTTGCAGAGACTCGAATCTCTCGCGCAGCAAATTGGCTGGTGGCAGAAGACTCTCTTAATACAGCATGTCATGTGTCATTTGTATTGTCTTTTCGTTTTATTGGATCCCTTGGGTTTTGCTCATAGAAGTGTGTTTTAACTGAGTAACACTTTTTTCTTTATTGAGAATGTGGCAAACGAGCTGGCGGTTAGTTTGATATTAAATGATAACCTCCGCCCATGGACATTTGCAACACCCGTAGGGTTGCAAATGCGTTGCCACCACGGTCGTGATACTTACCCGGACGGACCTTCCCGTTCGTGCAAAGGCCGAAGCCGTTGCATGGCCCTACCACAGTGAACTAACCACTGTCCCGAATAATAAAAAGTTACACTAAGTTTATGTCAAAGTAGGTGTATATGTGAGCATATAGGTAATCTACTATCTTTAGAGATTAAAATCTTGACATGAATTCGATGACAAAAATGGAAAGTGATGGGACGTCAAGTCGTCGGCGGAGGGGGCTATCGGTATAGCTCTCGACCTTCGAAAGGGAAGTGGGAAAAATCATCGGTTCCTTGATCTTCGGAGGGAGAAGTGGGGAAGCTCTATATGTCCCTTGACCTTCGGAGCGGCAATTGGAAGTGGGGATGCTCACTGGTGGTGGTGACGGTCCTGAGCTCGCCAGTGATGAGGTCGGGCTCCAGCAGGTCCGGCTGCGGCTGGGGCGGCGTGCGCGCGTTGAGCACGGGCGCCGCCGTGGCCTGCGCCAGCTGGCGCTTCGCCCCGCGCTTCTCGCGCAGCCGCGCCTGCCGCCGCTCCCGCTCGCCGATGGAGGACTGCAGCCTCCGGAGCCTGCACAGATCGGGAAGCGGTCATTTTACCAAACATGACAATACAAATAAAAGTGAAAAAAAAATATGTAAAAAGATGGCAATCGAGCTGGTGGATCACCTGATGTTAAGTGGCAACCTCCGCCCCTTGATATTTGCAACACCCGTGGGTCACAGATACGTTACCACCTGTAACTAGAGCAATCCCTGGCCACTTTTTTGGCATCTGAACACACTCATATCTTCAAACTACTTAATAAAGACAAAAGCGCCCTAAGACCAAGCATTGACTAAACTCGGAAAGTCTCCAAACCAACCAGTTTGGATGATTAATAGGTTAAGAATGAACAGTGGATGCTCCTGTCGCCAAGGCCATCTTAAAAACATACAGGATTAAAGAGCAAGTTACTAGAACTTGCATCCTTTATCTCCAAAGGTGGTAAACCCAAATACTTAATCGCCAGACTAATAAAAAACAAGCCGTTTGCCTATATGTAAGTAGCAGCACTCACTTGTAGATGTCGGTGATCTTCTTCTTCTCGATCTTCTCCCGCTTCAGCCTCTCCTTCTCCAGCAGCCGCTCGCGCTGCTTCCTGCGCGCCTTGTGGTCCTTCTTCCTGTTCCTGACTGGGGGGTTCACCGCCTTGTACTCGCCGCCGGAGCCCTCCTCGTCCGAAGGCCCGCTCGGCTTGGCTGACGGCAGACCAGCGCTCATCTCCTCGCGCCATTGATTCTGGAAACGTAAATAAATAAGTTACATGTCATCGTGTATATTTTCTTGCGGCAGCTCATTAGCAAGTCATCAATTGCTAAATTGATAATTATGAGATAACCTGTGAGATTTCATTGTCATTGGTTTTTTAAGAGCTGGGATATACCCCTTATTATATGTAATGGATATATCTTGAATCACTGGAGCAATGCTGAAGGTTTCAGTAAATAAAAGTAACCTTAACTCAATTTGACATAGCTAAAAATTTATTTGAATAAAAGTGATTTTATCACATTAATTCAAATCATCTTAATCTTTGCATGTATCAACTGGATTAACATTTCTTATACTATTACTATTATTGTAGATTTGGTTATTGGAGATAGAATGTTGACGTAAGTATTATGGAGCTAATGTCAAATACCTACCGTTAGTAACCTAATCTACAGATATAAATATACAAAGGGACCATTTTCACACAAATAAAATGTAGCTATAAACTGCTATGTTAATTCTTAATTTACAATGATCCCTTCTAATATTTTTTTGAAAATTGTTAATCTAGAAGTTTTTATAATGATATCATTATGAGTATTAAACTAAATTTGCAGCACAAACCTCCTTTTCCTGCGCACTGACTTTACTGAACATCCTTGTAGTTACTCGGTTCAAGTGCTGCTCTTTTTTAATCATCTTCTGCTCATGTTGCACCACCTCTTGCAGAAGATCTTGGTGTTCCTGCATAAAGAACAAGATACAATTAAATTGAAATGGACAATACTATAAAGGACAATAGGCAACCAAGGTACCAGGTACTAATACCATTAGAGTGCATCAGTAATATTTCCATTCAGTGGACTTCTTACGTGCCAAAGGCATTCTTATAAATGTGTCCATGTAAAGTAACAGAGAGACAACCTGAGACATTTAGGACAAAATTCGGGGATAATAATAATAAAAGGAAGATAAAGAACTGGAAAGCTGCGGGAACTGATGGTATCCACAATTTCTGGTATAAAAAATTCATTGTACTACATGATGTGCTAGCACGAATTATCACAGATCATTTAAAAAGATTAGCTGATTTACCGAATTTCGTAACTAAAGGAATAACCTACATGATCCCAAAAAGCAATGCAACAGCCAACCCATCACAGTATAGGCCTATCACATGTCTACCAACAATCTACAAGATCATCACCTCTTGTATCGCACACAAAATAAACACTCACCTATCCACACACATTATAATTGCCGAAGAACAAAAAGGATGTAGGCAACATCACAAAGGACGTAAAGAACAACTCATAATAGATTCTACCGTACTGAAACATGCACAAACCCATAATAGAAATATACATATCTCCTACATTGACTACAAAAAAGCTTTCGATAGCATACCACGCTCTTGGCTCATTCGCATTTTACAGATTTATAAAATTAACCTAAAAATCATAGCCTTCTTGGAGAATACCATGACCGCGTGGAGGACCAGGCTCGTTTTAAGTAATTCGACTGAATCTGTAAGCACTGATGAAATTCCGATCGAGAATGGTATATTCCAAGGAGATTCTCTTAGCCCTTTGTGGTTTTGCCTGAGCTTAAACCCTCTATCGCATTTGCTAAACAGTGAGTGTAACGGTTACAAATTGACAACTGATACACAAATAAGCCATCTCATGTATATGGATGATATAGAATTATTCTCAAAATCTGAAAAAGCTTTAAACAGGCTCATACAAGTAACATCAGAGTTTAGTAAAGATATCAATATGTCCTTTGGCCTAGATAAATGCAGAGCACTTCATGTACGTAAAGATAGGATTATAAATATCATTAACAATATGGACAATAGTGAAACCAATTTTATTCAAATGGAATCAGCTGATTTGTACAAATATTTAGGCATTGTACAATCAAAAACTATCAATCATACCCAGATTAAAAAGACACTGACTGAAGAATATACACGCAGACTTAATTTGATATGCAGAAAGTCTTTATTTTCAAAAAATATGTTCAAAGCGATAAACACTTATGCGATTCCAGTTCTAACATATTCTTTTGGAGTTATCAAGTGGTCGCGAACAGATATCAATCAACTGGAAATAAAGACTAGAACAACCCTCACCAAACACAATAACTTGCATCCGAAGTCTGCAATCGAGCGCTTATCTGTCAAACGATTAAAGGGAGGTAGGGGGTTAATAGATTTGAAAGTGCTTTGGGAAGGACAGGTTCATAATCTACAAAAATTCTTTTACAAAAAAGCTGAAACCAGTAACATTCATTTAGCCACTATAAATGCAGATAAAAACTACACGCCTTTGAATCTTAAAGTTAGAGACACCCATAATAGATCACCAAACACTGCTGAAACTGATAAAATTAATACCTGGCGCAGGAAAGAATTACATGGTAGACACATACACGATCTTGAACAGAGCCATATTGACCAAGAAGCCTCAAATAAATGGCTTACACTTGGATCTCTGTTCCCAGAAACAGAAGGGTTCATGATTGCCATTCAGGATCAGGTATATATCAGGTCGGATATACAAAACGACATTTGCAGAAAATGCCACCGACATGCTGAAACCATACAGCACATAACAAGCGCCTGTCCTACTTTAGCACCAACAGATTACACACATCGACATAATCAAGTAACACACATTATACACCAAAAACTAGCCATAATGCACAAACTTATACCAGACAAAACTACACCTTACTACCAATACAATCCAAAATCTGTACTGGAGAGCACTAGATACAAATTATATTACGATAGAGCCATATTAACAGACAAAACCATCCATAACAATAGACCGGACATAACATTATCAAAATAAATCAAAATATATTTATTCAAATAGACGCTTGCGCGCTCTTATGAATCGTCAAATTTTACATCAAAGATTATGTGTATAGGTTCGTAAGGTACCATTAATTGATAAACAGGATAAAATAGTATTTCTAATCGACATTGCAGTGCCCAATACCCATAACCTTCACAAAACCATTACTGAAAAAATAAATAAATACAGAGTAATAATACAGAGTTAAAGGAAGAAATTCTTAGAATTTGGAAAATGAACAAAGCCTACATTTTGCCACTAGTGCTATCCAGTACAGGCGTAATTCCCAAACATCTACTTGAATCTTTAAAAATTTTAGATATACCTGAAAACACCTACATAACCATGCAAAAAGCAGTAATTCTAAACACATGCCGAATTGTACGCAAATTTTTACAGGAAGAGTTGAATAATCCACCCGAAACATAAGATGAAGCTCACTTGGCTTAGGCCCGTGACCTTGATCATACCGAAATATCTTAAATATTTCGAGATATACGACATGTATAAACCGAAATAATAATAATTATTATTATTATTTACAGCAAAAGCACTACAAATTAGAAAAACAATATTGACATATAAATAACATATACAAAACTTTCCTGAAGTACAATTTGCTGACAATTTTTGATGTATAAACGTAGTATCTATTGTGTCCTCACTAGGCAAGCCTGTATCGAGGAGGGACATATTGCTTTACATATGCATTTTTCATCAAGGAGATACTGAGTTTTACTACATTTTATAGAAAAATAAAAATGACACTTGAAATAAAAACAATAAAAAAATAATGTACATTTAATGAGAGAACAGTAAACAAAGAAAGTTTCTTGCCTATTCTATATAGCTTACCTATCAATGACTCAGTCTACACCATTAAGATAAAAACTTGAGTTTATATAATATTATGTTGTATGTAATATTGATTACACATAAAATGCCTTCTATGTCATATCACTGAGGTTGACATATCAATCATCAGGAAAGTTAATTTGGTAATTTACAGCTTGTTTAGCCACTTGCCTGATAGGATGGGTTGTAACTGACGCCGGGGTGAGGCATTTCAATGGCAGCACGTGTTGCCACGGTCTTGGGCGGTGGAGGTTTTGGGCGTAAACGCTTATCCGGCAACACATTGTGAAGCTGAGCATCCGAAGATACAAATTCGTCACACAGCGTCGACGGAACACCCTTTGCTTCAAGCACTGCAAATATTTATACTACATTTTATTCACGGATTTATTTTCGCCATTGGCGTAAAGAAACAGTTACATACAACTAGTTAAATTTAATAAATTAGATAAAATGAAATTGAAAAAAAAAAACATTTTAATAATACTAAAAAAGTATAATTACTCACAATCTCCACCCCACAAATTCTTTTCGAATGTATTTTGAATCTCTTTCATTTTTCTTTTCTTGTCTAAGGCAATTTTTCTATTCTTACGAACAAGCTCCACTTTTTTCACATGTACACCTTTGTTTATGCGACGTTTCTGTGACAGTTTACTTAAAGCAGTGGGCTTGGTCCCCACTGGATTTACACGATTTCGTTTAGCGTTTGGATCTTGGACCTAAAAAAAAGTAAAACTGTAACCTTTTACTGGATTAGAGTATTAACCAAGATGTTATAATAATATGACCAACACCCATTGAAAATTGGATGAGCTTTGTGGAAAGAAAAACCTTGTTATGTACATAGGCGGGACACATTGTCTTCACTCTATAATTGATAGCTCAGTGTTGGGGTAAGCACCCCAAATAATTTTAAATAAAAAATAGTCAAGTAACCCTACTACAAACACCAATGAAAGTAATAATAAAAATTTTGAATCATCATTAATTCAGCCTGTTTTAGTCAAATGTTAGACATAGGCTTCCAACAATGGCCAATATGAGGTTGCAACTCGAGACATTTCTTCCCAATGACTTAACGGTTCAACAAGATATAGGCAGCTTATTGTCACTTCACCATGCTAATCTTCTGAGCTAAGTCAGTTACCTTGGTTCTACTAATAATGAGTATCATTTCTCAGATACACAAAATTTATATATATACACAAGAATTGCTTTTTTAAAATATAAGACATTAATTTTTGTATAAATAAAAATCTCTAACCTTAGAAGTAGGGAGTAATACTTCGAAACATTTCGGTGTCTGTGAGAGCAGAGCCCTTTTCCTTTGCTTTAAAGACAATGGCTTCACATCGACCACTTCAGGCTTTTCATCGCCACCAGTGTCCACAACAAATAATTCCGAGTCCGCTTTAGTTTCAAACTTGCTGAAATATCACAATAAAAACTGAATTGTGTGGAAATATATGAAAGATATGTTGCATTTTGCCTAGGGTTATTTTACAACGGTTTATTTTATTTTATATTTATTTCATGTTCATTTTTAATGTAGGTAGTTCAAGGCATGAAGTTATCAGTTTTGAATTTTGCAGTTACTGTCCCTTCATTTACACGGTACGAACATAAGGCTAATCTTCAATTTCTGAGAGACGCGTACTTACTTAATAAGTAACGTGTTCAAGGTAATACTATACGGTACAATAACATAACCTTACCCAAGTCTTTCATCCAAGCGCTGATCTTCGAGGAAGTCTTCAACGTCTTTGATATCACAATATTTCCGCCATGCCTTTTTATTCTTTTTTGAAACATGTTTTTTCTTCTTAATAACAGACATTTTTATTGATATACATTAAGACCACATCTAAACATGCTCGAGATACACAAGGAAGATCTAAAAGATTAACTCGATGACAGTGACACAATCAATTTACCTGTTGTCAGTGTCATATGCCACATGTTTTTTTTATTTGTCTATAGATTATAACTTATAATCGAAGAATTATAATTATTACGTCATATTATTCTGTGAAAAAAATTAGAACTATCATCCAATGATATTATATACAAAGATATGAAATTAGCGCACCAAATTTGAGGCACTTAAATTACACTAATTGGTGTAATTAGATTGCAATTCTACATAGACATGCGTCAACTATATTCATCATTAAACATCACTGACTATTACTTATCCCTTTTAACCACAAGAAAAGTCAAGCTATTTGTATTTCCTTAATCTATAATGTTACAACATTGATATTTTGGGAACATCCAGATTACATCAACATAACTATTTGAATTTATTTTATCACTATTACTCTTACAGGTTTCAGACCTGTTTTACCATCTTTTAAAGTTATCGCATAGATTTCAAATGACATTTATTTTAATAATTTGTAAAGTAAATTGTCTACATCCTTAAATTACATAAACATTAATTACTAGTTTTTTAAGGATAATAGTAAAACAATCGTTCCGCAGTAACTCCATATTTGTAGTAGTTTTGATAGAAGAGTTTAAATAGGACTCTGGTACACGGTACCCAAACATTGTTTATTTTTATTAAAAGGTGGCAAGCGTGCTGGTGGTTCACCTGATGTTAATTGATAGCCGCCGCCAGTTGATATTTGTAACAGCCGTAGAGTTGTAGAAGCGTTACCACCTTTTAAAAAGTGGGCCCCGGCTACATCACTCAACAAACGAAACGGAGAAGTGTAACACTTCCATATCACGCCCGGTCTTCTGTAAGATCGTGGTACTTACCCGGATGGACCTGCCCAATCGTGTAACAAGGAAGACTCAGATGTCCCTAAAACAATAGTGGCGTGTACTGATAGATGACTTGATGTGATGTTAATATGAAAATCATAAGCCAACCAATATTCATTTCAGTACATGCTCATCTTAATATTTGATTCATTGCCTCCGTAAAAAAGTTATGAAACAGACTTACAAGGACGTTGAAATTATTTGGTAATAATTTAAATAAAAAACTATCCAAAATTAAAAAGAGTTGTACTTATAAATACATAACAACATTAAAAGCTATTGAACAATAATGGAATGGCATTACATTGGCGGCTAAGCGTTTTTATTATTCTTCGCAATCTTCTTCCTCTTCTTCTGCCTCCGCAGGTTCTTCATTAACCTCTGGAATGAAAACCTTTTTGTCATGGACACTGCACGCTTTGAATTAGTAACAGAAATTACTTATTACAACTGTAAAATTATTTATTTGGTTAGTTGTTTAATAAATTAGTTATTGAGTTTGCTTTGTGCATCACGTGACTATTCAAAAATCAGTTAAATCATTTACTCCAAATCTGTATACCTACTTCTAACATTCGAAAAATTGTTCGTTTTTAGTACAAAATGCGTGCCACACCTGTACAAAGAGTACAAGTTTTGATACATTTCTTTTAATAATTAAAAACTCTTACAAAAATTATTGTAAGATTTCCTGTGAACGTCATTTTACTCCTTAGACAACTAAGCGGCAAATTAAACTAAATAATTAAATGGCTAACCTTACGTCCAATCGGTGTATGTACCGACTAATTTTGGACCTATTGGAGGTCCTTCATCGGATTGAGTCAAATTAGTTCGCGAACGCGCTACCCCGTCCCGTCTCGCACTGCGGCTTGCCTGAGCTCGCAGTGTCGGTTGTTAGGGAGGGGGCGTGTGGTGCTCTGGTTATGATGACGAATATGACTAGACGGATGTTTGGATGTCGGTGATGGAATTTAGGGACGCACAAAAAGTACTCACAATGTCCACTATAATCGTCTGCACCCTCGTTCTTATTCCCCGTTCAATAAAACAGGTTTCCAATTAGGTGTAGGGCATTTTGCAACCCTAAACATCGACTCTGACATAAAAGTAACGGTCTCACCGCATTCGTTACCATCGCCGGGGCACCGCACCCTATTGATGAATTTTTTTTATTAACGGGGGAAATGCATACGTAATGCTTACGCATACGTCCTCGCGGGGGCAAGGACGAGGTATGTCGGTCTCGCACCGACTAAAACCCTCACGATTTTCCACCTAGGCGCATATCGGCAGGGACTCGGGAACGCTTTCGCACATTCCGCGACCCTGCCAGCGCTGGTCGCCTTAGCAGCCCCTTCTTGAGGAGTAACTCATAGCGGAGTTGCTCCTCGAGAAGGGGCTGCTGCAGGTAAGGCACGCCGGAGCATTACAACTACTCGGCCCCTTTACCCTATCGACGACCCGATTGGCGCAGTGGATGGTGAACCTGTCTCTTGGGTCAGTGGTTGTGCTTTTCCCCATATTCCGATCCCAGATATTTTCAGATCCCCACTACTGGAGAAAATGTTATGTCATGAACATGGTTTTCCTAATGCCTGGGTGTTTTCCTATTTATAATATACATTTATTTACCAAAGAAAGTAGTTTTAAGAATGTTTATCAGTTATATAGAACCCATAGCACAAACTTTACTTCCATGGGACCAGATCACGCAGTGTAAAAAGATTTGCTATGATTTCATCGACACGGGCATTGATAATAATAATAATTGCAAGCTCAGACGTGAACTTAACCCACTCACCTTGAAGAAGGATAGGTCTAAAACTACTATATACTGATTGGACGAGATTTTAGCCGTTTAATTATTTACTTAATATACTCACGAAAGATTAAATAATTTTAAAACAGCAAGCTTTGTGTTTATTTATTATGCTATTAAAGCTTTTTTTAATTTTTAGTCAGTAAATATAATAAGCTACGTCTACAAAGTTCGTAGGACAGAATTTGTATCCAGGAGAGTTAAATGCCTTGAACTAGTTATTGGAAACGATTTAAATGAAGTAGGGGACCGATTCGGTATTAAATGAATGTTTAAGAAGTCATTAATTTTCAAAGATTTGGCTGGTTTGTTTTGTGAGATAACGCTAAACGGTAACTTTTGAATTGTTTTAAGCTTTGCTAAAGTAGGTGCAGATTCTTTTTTATGCCAGTGTGGTCGAAAGGTAATGGGAAAAGTTTGTTTTTCGCTGGAAGTCGTCGAACGGGGCTGGAGTGTTGCGGACGTTTCTGAAATAGAAATAACTCGCTTAACGAATCACGCTGATTCGTTTGCACGCGAGGTGACATAGCCATGCTATGCTACAAGACACAAATGAATATTCGTCTGAAAGAAAAAACCTAATAGAACTGCCTTCCAGAGTTTCATTCACAATTTACACCGAATAAGATTTCAATCGGGAAACAAATTACTAGGTTTAGTAGAAATTAAATAATGTCGCATGGTGAGATGCACATAACAAAATCATTTTATACTCCAATTGCCTTAATTTTTAACTTGTATATTTAACCAGTTTTAATAGTTTATTACTGTAAAAAACAAAACCATAAAGGGTATTTCATCTTCTAACCCTTCAGCAATCTCAATATTGCAGCTTACTCTAAGGAGATATGAGACATTTTTCAAATTATTCATGAATTAACGTTTTTGTGTCTTACGTGTGATATGAAGATATAGCATGAAAATTATTACCAATGGCCATCCGGCCATGTGTTAGTTTAGTTATTAGGGTTAGTCGAGTCAAAGTACGTTTTAAGTGGGATGTCAAGTGAGTCGATATACAAAAAGTCATAAGTCAGTTGAGTCAAATTCATTCACATTTAAACAAAAACGCAACAAGTAATAAAAAAACAATAACAATTTATTTAAAACATTATTCTTTTCCATCATTACTGAACGCACTCGATTATGTGACATCGCACTTAATGTTGCCAGTTAGTAAAAATTTACCTAAATCGTTCTTTTCCATCTTTTTACAGCCTTCCTATGCTTTAACATATAAAAATGGAAAATCTCACTCTTTTAATAAATATTCTAATTTGTATCGTAAACAAAGAACTTAAGAAATATAACTCATACTAGCATTTCTTTAAATCTTATTTACATATTATAAAAAATCTTATAAAAAAAAAACATTATTACAATAGGATCTAAAGCTTAAAAATCATTGGATTATTTAAAAAAATATAATAGTAGAAAACAACTTTACGATCCTACAATAACAATGCTAATATTAAAATAAACTAAATATATCTGACCTTAAGAATTATTGTGTCGATTTTATTGGTCCCATTTACAATTATGTAATAAAGTAAAACAACACACTGAAATCTTTTTAATTGTAACAAGTATTTTCTTGGTTATTGTAATAAAGTGGAGGCATACGTGGGGATTAAAAACGGTAAAGGGAAACGGATAAAATCGAGACTATAAATCTGTAGTTCAGACACTGCGCCTAAAAACGTATCGTTACTGGCGTTGGTAGTCCGACTGGACGTAATACTCTTGGCTGGATTGCTCCGGCGCCGTTTTGTACTCCTCGTAGCTAGTACCTTCGTGGGAGGCGTCGCGGTGTTTGCCCGAGGCGAGCCCCGCGGCCGCCGCCTTCGCCGCCGCCTCTGCCGCATTCGCCTGCGCCTGCTGTGCTGCTGCCTGCAACGCGATAACCGTGCACTTAGCACCACACTACCACCACACTACCACCAGTCACAAATTATGTGGCAAAACGCCACTTGCAATGTTTCCATCTCTAAAGCTACAATGGTAGAGGTAGAGATGGAGCCATTTTATCACTCGCGAATATAGGGAACTGCCACAATTCAGTGAGTTACAAGCCACAAGCTTTTGAGAATTGGCAGCGGTGCTAAACCTACGTGATAAGAATGCGGCAACTCCTTATTTCAACACAAGGGAGTTTGTATAAAATTTCAGTTCTACTAGTAATATCGAAATAGACCAGATACTTCTTTTTTGTATTATCTTATCTAGTATTGACTTTTCGTTTTCAGCGTTTCGTTTAACAAAAAAATGTTTTTATACGATCTAAGCAAATACTGACAGAAAAAGAAAAAGAAAGAGCTGAAGATGTTTATAGTATGGCTTTATTCATGCTTCATTAATGACAATTTGACACCGGATCTTTATCTGCTGTCTCTTTATGAAGCTCTGCTCTTAGTACAACAGGTTTATCTGTATATCTTCAAATACATACATCTTCACATTGCACGTTTCCTATGCATGAAAACGTTACGTGTTAATTATCATAAGCAAACCTGACTTATTTATATATTATTATTTATAGATATATATATTAAACACATGTAATGACTTTCTGTAAACGAATTTTATTTTTGTATAAAGCAACACTGTCATAGATCAACGAAAATAAATACTGAAATAATAATAAATATAATAAATAAAAAAAATACTTTAACATTGAAAATTCAGTTCTACCTCAAAACGCGTACAACTTGTTTTCAACATTGGAAATACTTTCTTGGCGCCTGACTCTATAATCAACGCGACATGTCTGATCTTTCCGCCAATGCACCTATAGCTAAATGTCACTTAGCAGCGAATGAGCTTCCGTAAAGGGATGGGTCTTACCTGTGCCTTCCTTGCGGCGGCCTGGGTGGCTTCGAAGTCGATCCTGACTCCGTGGAGTTGCTCCTGGAGGGTGTGGAGTCTCTGGCGGGCGGCGCCGACCATGGCCGTCTGCGCGCCCAACTCGCCGGCTGCTTGCGAGGCCGCTTCGTTGGCATTCTCGGAGGTCGCTTGAGCGGCGTTCAAGGCGGCTTGGATGACGTTCACCTTTGGTGTTACGAACATCATCATCATTAAAAAAAATCTAGACTAAAAATATCATTAACATGAATCACAAGTTGTGTCATGTGATGGGATCACATGCTAGGCGTTAAAGGGAAGAAGGGAAAACATGATTTTGAGAAATATAAAAAATGTATAGATTATATGTGGCTCATCACACAGGACAAAAGGGAATAAAGGAAAGATCTCTGTCCAGCAGTGGGATAAAATGCGTCTGAACTCCTATGAACGACTATAGCCCTTATACCCTCTATGTCTACAGAGTATATTAAATATTGTGGTATCACTGTTACATAAGGTTAATAATTCTTGACTATAAAAAGAGAAATACCAATAAACTTATGTATATAATATCACGTTTATGATATTATGATTGTTTGGAAAAAGGCAAAGAAACGAAATAAAAGTCGATCGGTATACCTGATTGAAGATAAATTAATTGTTATTAGGTTGATACCAGTGATCTAAATTACAAATAGTAACATTTGTACAGCAATTTACTTGACCAAAGCTAGTAAAGTTGGTAAAGCCTGATGGAGTAAAGTGTGATCATTAAATGTGAAAACTTTCAGTGATCACGCTTTAAAGTTTTCACTTTTAATGATCACACTTCACTCCAGGCTCACCGTTTATCTGCGCTATTCTAGCAAAGATACTTTTGACGATTGCTTACTAAATGGAGCGCAACCGATTCTTAGCAAACTTATTGCGCAAACGCATACCTAATACTGTCAGTATAATGTCTAAATGACATTACCAATGTAAACCAGCCAATTGATTAGTGGGAGCGTGAAATTAATTTGAAATAACAATTTCGTACGAAAGAAATTTAACGTAGGTTCATTTTTAGCACCGTGTCACGTAGTCGGTAGTTTTTTTATTTGTTTAAAACTGGTTATCCGTTCCATTACAATTTTATAACAGTATTTGGTAACAACAAAACTGTACCTCAGCGGTAAACAGCATTATGTGCCAAAACACAAATTTTACAGGAACGGCAAGAATGCGTGAGTGAATCCTTGAATGCATTATTGAATATGATGTCAATTACGAATGGATATTTTATTAATTAGGCGTCGTAGGTCTTATTGCTTTATACTATTGTGTAGATTTGTTCTTGCGACTTCAATAGTAAGAAAAATAATTTTGAAAAATGTGAAGTTACTATTGTATGCCTCTGAGGTACACTTATAGCAGACGCTGAGAACATTTCGTAAAATGTAAAGTTGGCAATTAAAAGCTATTTAGCTAATAACGCATTCGAATCGAAGGAATCATAACGTACTTACCATAGTATTACCGTATTTTAATTAAGTAATTTTTCGGAGCTATGTGTAAGTGTGTAGTCATCAAAAAAAAATGTACTAATCACTATTAAATTTTCTAATTTATAACTATGCACGCAGATTTTAATTTGAATGCGTATCTATTTACATGTATAAATATAATCAAAGGAAGCACTCAAACTTTTAATCATTGACGAGTAGACAGGGAAAATTATTACTGTTCACTTACATCGTGACAGATGGCAACCTTGTGACGGCAAAAAATGTGGTATTATATGATTTGCCAAAACTTCTTAGGAATCCAAAATATTATAAGTTTATATATAAATTCATTGTAAATACAATAGGTATAAGTAACTTGTAAAAGTAGTTTTTAAGCATATGTAAGATAGGCCTAAAGGACTTGATTCCAGGGCCGTTAAACTAATAAAAAAAAAAAAAAAAAAAAATGTGGTACACATAAACAGCGTAACAATATATAATAAATCATAAGAACAGAATCTTATTGGGATTAAAAGCCTAAGATAGTTTTTATTTTCACTGGCTCGAGTCCCGTGTTCATTTAACGATTTTTATTAATTTTTAAATGTTCACTCATCCATAGGAGGGTTTTCAATTTCATCAGCTCATTATCTACGGCGCTACCTCAACGGCCATCTTTTAAAGCGTATTTCGCAAAGGCAAGCGGCCGTTTTTATCAACTTAAATAGGAGCAGCAGCCATAATGATTATTGCGAATCGATAAGTCTGAAGTTGCTGAAACTGACGACTGTCTGGAGAAAAAAGTTAATTAAATTCTCCACAATCCTACTCTGTCGCGCTCTGACAAAACTTGACCTACTTGTTACAGATTGACCAGTTACTCTCAAAGTTCGTCAACAAAAAATTGTTTTAAATAAAATAGAATGCGCAATGTCGCTGCGTTTGGAAACAATCAAAACACATATTTGATGAAGATTAAGAAACGAACGATATAACAATTAGTTTGCAGATTTTTTTATACTTTCACGAATAAATTTTTTATTATTTTTATTTCTAAAGAATTGTCATTGCTTTTAGATTTTAGCAACTTCATATGGTTTTATCCAAGCAGCAGACAAAGCAGTTTTCTTTGTATTTTCTGCTGTTTTCTTCGTTCCGTGGGTTTTCTATATTATATTATATTAATGCTAAAGTTGATTATCAATATAGGGAAATTTTGAAGTGCAAATGCAACTTTCTATGAAATAAAACTATGTCACCACGAATCTACTGTAAAACGTAAATGTTTATTTTATTTTACGTTCGAAACTCAACTTTTAATTTCGATACAATACGAATGAAAAAGTATCGTTCGCAAAACTTACGTAAATAGCTCACTTTCAATAGGTCCGTTATTTTTCTTTTTCACATTTTTATTGTCATACCACTTTACGCAATGCAACCAACTTTTTCTGTCCAAACTTGGTGTGGAGCGAATTTTTTGGCGGCACTTTTTGGAAGTCGCTTTTTTCTCCGAAGTTTATTGCGTTATCCCTACTAATAAGATTTATGTTGGGGCATTTAATTGGTTCTCTTGAGAGTTCTGGTCGTTTGTACTATATTAAACAGTTTATAATACAAGATATTATAAACTGTATATTATATATATTGTATTATGTATATTGTTTTAACTTAACGAGATAAAACATGAATCTAAAATGTAATTTTAATTCGCGCCCCAAAAAGTAATAAAGTTAATTTTTTTCATCACATTACCTTTCAACAAAATTATTTAATGCTTTTAATTCCATTTGTTTGAGGTAAAGGGGCATTTCAAGAACTTCAACGTCAAAATCTAATCTAGAAATCAGACCGTGAAAACTAATCTTGGCCTTAATTCACCTTTTGTGAGAATGTGCAATGAACTTAATACACTTTTTACTAGTGCTGAATATACCATCGACATTTTTAACGATTCCCTGTATTTCCAAAAAGGAAGTGAAGTGATTTCGCTTGTATACCTACTCTTTCTTTCGTTATGAAGTAAGGTAGCTAACTAGATAAAATGTGTCCTATGTGTTATTCCAGCTATAGATTATTGAATTTCGTTCAAATCCGTTGAGTCGTTGCGGTGTAAAGCGAGAACAAATAAACTGATACTGAATGATCTGAACAGAACTGTGATAACTGTACGATCGAATCAGTCCCGTGTGATAGGTCTGTACTAGCAACAGCCCTGTAGTCTCGGGCTCGTAGAATAGAGCTAAGGTATCCCCTGCCTGTCGTGAAAGGCAATAAAAGCGGACACGGATTGGCAGCAGCACGAAGTGGTCTCGTGCTGCTGCAAGACGGCGAGGGAATCGGGGAAGGTTTCTCCGTGGCGTGCTCACGTGCAGTACTGAGGGACACCGGTGCGTTCCGTAGGGGATCCCGGATTCCCTCCAAAGGTACAGAAGGTGGCCACCGAGGGGGTTTTAGTGGGTACGAACCCCACATAAAGATACCCTGTCATGACATGACAGGGTATCTTTTGAAGATTCCCCCCGATATCAAAAAAAAAAAAAAGTCCGTACTAGCAAAATGTAATACCGATCATACCTGGTGCATAGCTTGCTGGGCGGCCTGTGCGGCGGACTGGGCGGCCCTCTTGGCCTGCTGCAGCTGCATCTCCTCGCCTTGCAGGCCCACCTTTGCGTCCCTGACCTGCTGCTCAAGCCCTGACAGGATCACCTGCTTTCCAGCGAGCGCCGCCTGCGCTGTAGCGCTGGCTTGCGCCGCTGACTGCGCTAAGGTGTTCTTCGCCACGTACGCCGCTTGGTAGGCCGCGGCCGCCTGGTTTTAGGGTTGTCCAAAGTGACGAAATATATAAATATATCGATATCCGTTACGCAGCTGCCAAGGTATTGGTATCGGCGATGGGTAGTGGGTTCGATTCCCACACGGGAGAACTATTTGTGTGACCAACAGATAATTGTTTCGGATCTGGTTACAACAGCACAGGATAATGTCATCCTACAGTCAAGGGCAATATTTTATTAAAAAAACTAAAAACAAACAAATTCATAAAAATATTATTAGCAGCCGCGATATATCAAAGAGAAAATATCGATATAGTATATCACTTTATGCTCTAAAAACCGCGTCGTCCAAAAAAAGGAAACTATGTCAAGTACTAAATATTAGTCACTGTACCGGGTTCGAATTTGAAATAATATCGTTTTTGATACGTTTTTCGATATTGCATATTTTGTATCGATATATCGGGTGCAAATATGTCGACTGAAAACATCGATAAATAAAATCAAAAAATCGATATATTTTTGACATCCCTACCTGGTTTCCGAGCGCCGTTTTCGCTTGATTCGCCGAGCCGACCGCTATGGTCCTCAGACCGCTGCCTCTGCTGTAGCCCTTCTTGCTGTCACCAGACGCTGCGGCCTTGACGTCCGATATATAAGCGTCGTAATGGCTCGCCGACTCCTGCGGATCCTGCACTTGGGATGATTGGGCCGAATTGTCGTATTCATACTCGTATTCGGAGTTCTGTGGTGTCGAGTCCCTGCCGACTGGAGCTGAAGACGTGATGGATAGGGCGCCTGCAGAGTTTAGAGAATTGTTTTTTTCACTTATCCCATGTTTTATATCTGACAATTCATATTTGAATATAAAACATTCTAAGTAGCGCTTGACAACCTTGATAACCTATCGAATAATTTTTTAATTTTAAGATTTGTTGGATTGTTTCTGTAATATTGTGAAATTGAATTTTAATGCGCATAAATATTGTAACTATGTCCGTATTACGCGTAGTTTAAATGTGTTATGTTTCGCTTAACATAGATTGACTGTAACAAAACATGTATTGCACGCACGTGCGTGCGAGGAAATTGGTGAAAAAGTGATTGCGCGTCTTCGAACCCGCACTTCCGATCGAGTATTGTAACAGCATTCGAATAGGTTATCGTAACCAGCGGCGTTATTCGGACAGATTATATGTTAGTTATTCATCGATTTAACGTTATTTACGGTCTATAATCTACATCTATTTTATATCGTAAATGTGCAGATTAAGAAAATAATCCTGCTGCTAAATAAACGCGTACCTACGAATATACATGGATCACTTTTCAACGCAAACACGGTTGCAAAAAGGTACAATATAAAGTGTAATTCTTATCACAGACATGTATCTAACAATCATTAGAAAACACCAATATTAAAAAAGTTTTCCTCGTTAAATAAAGTCAATTATTACATAGTTGTCCTAAAATTTCATATGATCGTACTAAAAATGGAATATATATTACAAATTAGGGTTGGTGACAATATGTTATATTACGGTGGTAGGGCCACACAGCAGCCTCGGCTGTTGCACGAACGGGCAGACCCGTCAGGTAAGTACCACGACCTCACAGAAGACCAGAAAGTGGAAGTATGACAAATACTTTCGCGTATCGTCTGATGAGTGAGGTAGCCGGAGCCCAATTTTCAATAGGTTGTCAACACATCTGTAACCCTCGGGTGTAGCAGATGTCCATGGGCGGCAGTATTCACTTACCATCAGGTACACCTTCCTTCATCTGCGTATATGTTGAAAACTGATCTTTGTATATTTTGACGTACGCTTTTGAGAAGTCGCAAGATTATTTCCTTTCCCAGCAACACGTGATAAATTCAGTACTTAATTATAGTTTGCAATAATTATTTTAATGAAAATCTATTTACTTTAAATATAAAATCCATACATTATATTTTAATACACTCATCAGGAATAAAAATAGATTGCAGAGTATTTATAACTTTGAGGGTCATTCAAACTTGTGCATAATATTATAAATATATTGTAGAAATTTTAACACAGAATTTAAACACAAATTTCATTACTATTAAATTATACATAAAAATAGTTTCATTTAATATGTAATGTTCGCATAAATATAAGAAATTTTCATCTAGCATTTCAATTAAATTATTAACGAAATAATTTTATCGTAATTTGGATTTTTCTTTAATTGATACCACTTTCTTTAATTGACCACCACTATGTCGGCGTGTAGGACAAAGCTCCTGAGATCGAGGAGATGAAAAAACCTTTTTGATTAAATTAAGAGATCCGTAAAAACGATTAAATTAAATTTTACGATTTTGAAAATTCGGTTGCATTCGTAGTGCTTTGTAATTTATTGAAAATTATCTACGTTTTAGTACATTAATTAAAACTTACCGAAGCAAAATAAAACTGCCGTGAAAGCCTTCATATTTCCGCCAGTCGAACTGAAACCACAACAATTATGACTTTAAACACTTAAATATTAAATAATACTTTTTTAATATGAACACCCAGACATTTAAATCAAGATTTTTCTGAAATATACTGTACTAAAATTTGACAGAAGAAAGGGCGGGAAAAATTTAAAACTAAACCACCGAATATTCGAACCTTCCAAAACTTTCACGATCGTTTGGAGTCTCGTGTTTTAGGTGCGGGGTATCTAAGCGCCCCTGTGCTCGGTCTGTGAGGCAATGTACTGGCAGACAATCAGCCCTGGTATTTATAGTTATTGCCCGACGCAGCACGGAGAGCGCCGGAGCCAGGGAATTGTGCGGAGTCGCCATTTTGTGCGGAAAACAATGGAATTTTCGTTGTTACGTCCAGTCGTGAAATAGGATGAATGCAGTTTTACTTTTATTCGATATTTCACTTAGGTAACTCGCTTCAAAACGGCTTCGTGCCTACAACTTTCTTTGATTCACGGGTCTCACGGATTTGCTTTATTCTTCAATAATAGAATGAATAAGTTAACACTTCAGTGCTAGTCCTAACCCCTACTATTAGCAGGCTACTACATTACCGTAAATACCCAGCACATTTCTGTACTCCACGTCGCGTTTGTTTGGATCATATATACATAGAATTACATAATTATGCAAAAAGTAGTTAAAAATTGTTCATGCATAAGTCCACGATCCGCATGTTCTTGATAATATCAACATTATCAAGAACATGCGGAAAAACTATGGACTGTAGTTTCAGAAAATTTCCGAAATTTAAGCAATTGTGAATTCCAGATATGATCACCAATATAAATCATAAGTTCTAAAATAAGTGCCCCAATGTAAATAGATTTCGATTAATAAAGAGATGGGCGATGGTTATTATATGCCAATATAATATCTATAAACTTTCCTTTTGTTTTATTCTGTTACTGAATTATGTCCTTGCCATGGGAGGGCATCTTAAATCACGTTTATTCAGGAATTTAAAACTAAAAGTCTCCTGAATCGTTTAACAAGTATGATAGGCATAATGAAAAATGCGAATGAAACAAAATACAGATCAGATACAGAGACTAACGCCGAAATCTACAATTTATGGAATCAATTGGAAGATCATCCACATAACACGACATTACACGATAACTAACATAACATCTTGGGACACTTATACACTCGGCTTGTGAATCTACTGCACAGATTGTAATTTACGTTTACGAGCCTTAAATATATGTTAATAATTAACTATTTTTTGATTTTGATTCACCTCATGTTAAGTGGCCCGTGCGTTGCCACCTTTTAATAAACTGAGTGTACAATATGTTGGCGGTATTTATTTATCTAAACCTGTATTTGTTTTATTTTTAGGGCTACCCAAAGGGTATAATGGGACTCTATTACCAAGACTCCGCTGTCTGTCAGTCCGCCTGTCACCAGGCGTATCACATGAACTGTGAGAGTTAAACAGTTGAACCCGCTATAACAACAAATACTAAAAAACAGAATAAAATAATAATTAAGTGGGGCTCCCATACAACAGACATGAGGTTTTTTGTAGATAATGGTACGGATCCCTTCGAGCACGAGCCCTACTCCCACTTGACCGGCTTTTTTAATTTATTAAAAAAAATACAAATAGAATAAAAAACGTCCTGGATAAAACTTAATATACGTTCATTATTAAAACACCACATACGTTCAAGTAAATAAAATAAAAAAATGACCTTAGTTACTTCTAATACTATACCTTCAATTGTAATAGACTTATTATAAATAATCTCTAGTAAAACAAAAAATGCCCTATGACGCGTAAACCACCCAATTATTCTAGATCAAGTCGTTGAGCATGGCCGCACTTTCGTTAGCAATTAGAAGAAAACGACTTTTAATGATATCTCACAATCTAATTCATCGTTTGGGGACAATGTGATTGCAACTTTCTTCGCTTAATCTACAAAAACATAAGTTTACAAAAGATTAACAAGCGACGACAGGCCTACCGTCGCCTCTGAAAGTAATAAATAAAGTAATAAGTAAGCATTGAATGTAATTTATTCGGGAAAAAAATATTGGACTTTCTTTTAGCCTAGTCTGTATTAAATATAATGATTTTTTTTAATTATTATATATAGCAGCTGTGTCTGAACTGTGCTTTCGGGATTAAACAATACCTTTTGGGTTTAGAAAGCGAGCATATAATATAGGGTAGGGTTTACGCGCGGTTTGTAAGTTTGATTCAAAAGATGCTACGCTTTTTTTGTTATGTTTACATTTATTTTAAGTTTTTCTAATATTATTTTACATAATATGTAGTTACATTATTATTTTAAAGTGTTCTATGTATCTATTGTGCTTAGACCGTGAATAAACGTTTCTTCTTCTTCGTCTTCTCCTTTGCACGCTTGCATAATTTGCATAGTCCAACTGTAGAATAGGTATTACCTATTGGTCGAAATTCTACAGTTGGACTATATTCTACATAATCGTACTTGCAGTACTAAATAAGTAAATATTATATAGACACAGTGCCAGATTATGCAAGCGCGGGGCCCTCGCGTAGCAAATTCTTTCAAACAGCCGTTAATCTTAAATTTAAAGTGTTACCACTTTTTAAATTTTACTTAAATACCCCGCATATTTACTTAATTAAACAATTAATTAAGTAAACATGCGGGATCCCGGGGCGCCGGGCCCGTAGCAATTGCTACTCCTGCTACGTGGTTAATCCGGCACTGCACAGTAAGTACTCTACTTGTAAGCGCGTGTTCAGTTTTCTTTGCTTACACAGCTTCCACGAGCGTTTTCAGCATAGTAAAAGACAGTCTTGGTAAAAATTCTACAAAATTCTGCCTTGTTTCGAAGATTTACGAAAGTATACATCTATCACCTGTTCGCAAAATTAGCACGGTCCCAAGGAGCACTTATATTAGGTTCCTTTTCATTTCGTTTTATATGATTTGATTTTTTTTATTTGATAGGTGCCAAGTGAGCTAGCTGTTCCTGATGTTAAGTGATAACCGCCGCCCATGGACATTTGCAACACCCGTATGGTGGCAGATGCGTCGCCGCCTTTTAATAAAATGGGCCCCGGCTACTTCACTCACCAAACGAAACGCAAAAGTATAACACTTCCATTTCACGCCGGTCTTCTGTGAGGTCTTGGTACTTCCCCGGACGGACCGGCCCATTTCTACAACAGCGAAGTATGACCCTACTACAGTTAGGATACAGAAATTCAATATGATAAATATTAGTATAAATTTAGGTTAAGTCCGGGAATATCCACCTCTCTAATCCAAATAATGAATTCTTATCAATACATACATTCTGGCTGCTATATTTAATTTCTTGACTTAATAAATAGCACAGATTACGTTATCATTTTTAAAAATCATCCGCAAATAACACGCATGTACTAATTGCGGGCAACCAATAAATAATTTTACATAATAATGGAAACACGAAAAGGCGTTACGACGAGTAATGCGTGTAACTTACTAATTGACAGTGGAAATGAACATTGTTACAGATACAATGCAAGGCATTTTTAACCGACTTAAAAAGTAGGAGGTTATCAATTCGATCGGTATAGTATTTTTTTGACGATGTTATGCGGAGATTTATATTTTATCTAACCGTAGATGCTCAACGGGTCGTCGGATGGCTTTATTGAAAAGCCATCCGACGATCCGATTGGCGTGGGTGGTGCCTTGCCTCTTGCACCCGAGAATATGGGCTCTATCTCCAGTACTGGAAAAATGTTGTGTGATGAACATAATGGGTGTTTATGAATGTATTATATGTATATACTGACAAAAGAAAAGTATGCTTAGTTATGCAGTTTTCTTGTACCCATAGTCCAAATGTTGCTTAGTTTGGGACTGGAGAAAGTTGTGTGAAAAAGTGTCAGAAAAAAATATTATATTATTATCCAAGTTTGATCCTTACTATCGGCATTTCGAACACCGTTAAATGTTTGAAGACTGTCTTCAATCAATGTGTGCTGTCGAGCTTGGTCCTTCACTGCCGGCCGTGTGACGGAGCTCAAAGTCGAAGCTATGTAGCCGGTTAGGTTCAGTACTTCTCTGCACGATAGAGTTAGAACATCCGCAGTAGAACAAAGGTAACCCACATAGCCCAGATAATGAGTTAGGTGGTGATGGGCGGGCCATATAGCTCGAAGAACCGATAGGCGATTGGAAAGAAAGGTTCTCGAGTGGCAACCTCGCATTGACCATCGTAGTGCAGGATGACTTCCCCAGATGGAGAGACTTTTTGTAGCAATATGTTGGGGAGGCCTATGTTCTTCAGTGGACATTTGGATGATCATCATCGTTAAAGTTACGAAATGACCATTTGCATTTTTAGCTTTCCATGTATTAAGCATAGAAGTGAAAACTGTAACTAGCATTGTATTTATAAAATCATTTTTTCATCATTTCAGTTCTGATACATTCAAAGTCTGGAATGTATCAGAACTCGGATATTATCGTTTACTTTTAATATTGTATTAGTTAATGCTTCACTAGAACTTCAATAGAATAGAATGGGGTAAGCCCCATATGCAAAAGTAGGTAGATAGAAGTATATTTTAAATAATAATTATAATTTGCAAAGCACAGCATACGAAAGATTATCGGAACTGCATACACCGACTTTTGATGTTCATTATGTGATATATACCTAGGCTGTTATTATTTGGGTTTAAGTGTCTGTTATCATCACTACATGGTATAAAACAAAAACGTCCCGCTGACTGTCTGTCTCTATTTATGCTTAGATCTTTAAAACTACGTCACGGATCCTGGTGCGGTTTTTTTTACTAGATAGAGTGATTCTCTTCAATCACCCTCCTCTTGGAAGGTTTATATGTATAATACATTGCACCCGTGCGAAGCCGGGGCGGGTCGCTAGTAAGAATTATTTCTGCTTTAAAATTACTGTCAAATATTGTTTATCTTTGTTTTCTCTAATCTTATGAATACACAATATATTGTCGAACATACTTTATTAATATGCAATTGTAAAAAAAATGTATATGTAGTAGAGTTTATTAATTGGTTAAGAAACATGGACAAGTGTTGTCAAACATATTTATACTATTCTTAATAGTATTTTGAAGTTATGATTTGTAGTCGAGTTTCAAGGTTACCTATTCGGCTAACGGTTACCTATTCAACCAAGTATAGGAGAGAATATAAAAAAATATTGAAACATAATTTATATAACAAATGACAATACAGTAGCCACAATTTCATTTTATGTAACACTACAATTGTACTAAATCAACAGTTCAAATGTAAAGTCCAGCTGATTCAACGTTTGCCCCAAATTTGATGGTA